GATTGGGTGAGAAATGATAGAAATTATATGAAAACATGATATATGTGACATGTGAATTATATGGAAATGATCTACGTGTAAGTGAACTATGTGACTATGTGATAATATGAAAAGAAGCTATGTGATATGTGATATGTGAAAGTGAATTACAAGTTTATGTGAATATTTGAAATGAAATAAATGATAACGCCCATGTTATGTGCCATGAGAGCTAGGGGTATAGTTGGCATGCCAAGAGTCGAGGGTCTACGCGGTCCATCGGGACATATGTATATTCTTTGGAACATGTGTGAAGTCTTGAAAGACGCATACTTGATCCCTAGTATATGTATATGATTCTTAAGGAATAATATGTGGTCCTTATGGACATTATTATATGGCACTACGGTACAATTCTACGCGGTCCTTCGGGATATATATATATTCTGTGGAACATGTGTGAAGTCTTGAAAGACACATACTTGATCCCTAGTATATGTATATGATTCTTAAGGAATAATATGTGGTCCTTATGGATATTATTATATGGCACTACGGTGCAATTCTACGCGGCACTTCGGTGCAATTATACGAGCTGTGGTGTCAGCATTAGTGCACAACTTCTATAGACTCACATATCGATAGTTCTCATATATGTACATGGGCTAATCCAGAGATATGAACAAATATATGTTAGTGGTATGATAAATGTTATAGAAATGATATGATGTTGTGTGTGTATAGTGTTTGATTGAAAAGGTTAACCATAAAAGTATGTGATTATATGATAAACTGTTAATGATGAATTATGTGTATGTATGTATTTACTGTAATTAATCTGATATGATTTTATATGATACGAAGAATGCATGGAATTGGTATAACATGATAGAACAGAACATGTATGTATTGATATATGTTATAAAGTGCATTATAAGTTGTTATGCATCACTAAGTCTTCGACTTAGCTTGTGATTGTTTCACATGTAGGTTTCGAGAAGAGTAAAGAGTAATGCGGAGCAAGACAGGTCAGTTTTCCTTACCAAATGTCAGATCAGAAAATATAGGTACTGTATATAGAGTGTAGTTGGCATGTAGTCTAAAGATATAAATTGTATGAACTCTGATACATTTTGTAAACGTTTTGAATAAGTTAAATGTTATCAATTTTTTTTAATTACTCACTATTTTATACGAATAAATGTTTGAAAAGTCAATGTGACACTTCGGACTCGTATCCGGGTCGGATACGAGTTGGGGGTGTTACAAGTGTAGTCTAGGCAGTTTTGCAATGTCATACACAAGAAATGCCCCATGTTGTCTGCTCCTATTCATACCTGAATACCAAGCCTTTAAATCATTTTCTCATGATAGGAGAAGGCTAAAGTGGTCCCTGCAAGAGAAAGGTATGGGGTTCGAATGTATCATCTGCGGTAAGGTCAAGGGTCATTGTTTTATCAGTTTTCAATCTTATCATTTTGTCAAAGATCTATAACTCCGATTCTTAAAAGAGCTTTTAATCCAGTTGATACTTAAAGAATTTCAAGTCTGAAAATTATTCATTGCTCATAACCTCAGAAGGTAGCATTTTACTTAAAATGTTCGATTGTCAAGTGACTTACAAACTTTTTAACGAAAAGAGAAAGAAAAGAAGTTCAAATAAGACAATATGTGAGTGCATCAAAAGTTCGTAGTGGTTGCAATGATTTTTTCTCAGTTTGCATCAGAATGCCCTATCATCCTTCAAATTTCCATGCCCCTGAATCAATTAGGTGCTGAACTTTGCACTTCAATGCCCCGCAATTCTCAGTAAGGTACCTTGATCTTCAGATGGTGATAGCATCACGTCCATAGCTCTCAAACCTTTTTTTTGTACGAATAGGGTGACTTCATCTCACCTCAAAACCTTTATCATAAGATTCTCCGCGAATTACCTTCGGGATTTGTGATTAATGTATGTCGATATGCAATATATACCATGTAATGTAAAATGTGTATATACTAATGCAAAGATGAAAATATGCACATGCAAATGCAAAATGGGTGTGCAAAATGCGAGATGCAAATGCAACCCGATATTGATTCCAAAATAACTTAATTTATACAAAAAGTACTCAACAACACACAATGTCTAAGCACTTAGGCAAAGAGAGTACATCAACATGGAAACTTAAACATAGAATCTTGCCTTATTTTCTATCTCTCGAGCTCTATCATCAATTTCATGATTCGCCATTCTTCCTCTGGATCACGAAAACTCTTAAGGTTGTCGCTTCTTCATATAATTCGTAGACTTGACGAGCAACACCATTGGCCTGATTCACTGCTTTCTCCATTGCTTCATGTTGTCTTTGAATAGTATCTTGAGTTTGTCGTAGCGCGGTTCCAAGTTCTGGATTAGTCAATGGTTGGCTCTCCTCTGACTGTTGAATTCACTGATGGCATCTCTGTACTGTAACTTCTAGCTCAAAAATCTTGGCTTTTAAGGCCTCACTTTCATGTCTAGCTATATATCGTGCGGATGAGTGGATCAACAATACTCCTTCTAGCTCTGCTATCATCTTCTTTAACATCTCATTTTCTTCTTGAATACGGAACCCATTGATGTTGTAAGGATTCTGAAAAATCTCATCCAAACTAAGCAGTTGTGCTTCGAGCTGCTCAATTTGTGCTCGCCTCTGCACCAATTCTTAGTTAGCCTCATCTTTTTGCTCTCTCAGTCTCTGAGCGTGCTACAGGGCTCGGATAATTACCTTCTCTGGCAAAATGGATTATTCGATAGTTACAAGTATGTCTCTGAACCGTGTCTGCCCGTACTCGGACCAGGTCTGAACACTGATTGCATTCTCATCCCATCAGAAGACATTGTTGCCTTAAGCTCTTTTTATAATAACTAAGTAATCTGGGAATCAATACCGTTTATGAAATGATGTGATATGACAATGATACATGCAAAAATGCAATAATAGCATACAAAAGAAAATCAATGTTAGTAGAAACAAGACAACAAGAATTAAGTTAGTTGAAAAGATTAGTCCCGAAATGTAATCTTAGCAAAAATAAATAAATATGACTCAAAGTTGAGACTGAAGAATAAAGCATACAAAGAAAATTAATAATCCTAACCGCATGTGTTCTAGTTCTCCTCGTCTATCCACATTGCTCTAGCGGGGTAAGCTTACTAAATTCTCTATATGAGGCTGGTTTCTAGCAAAGGGTTCCCAAGCTATTTTTACAACCTACTAAGGTTGTCCCCGATTCTGGCCCATTACAGACTTGCGAATCAGGTTCGGCTCAGGGGATCACACCACTAAAAGCGTACCTCGGAACTGATATCCGGATAGGCAACTTAGGGTGCTTTCCAGAGATACTTTGTCAGACCCACACAAGGAAGCCCAATGCTCCTCGTGAGGTGTGACGTTTCTCCCTACTTATGTAAACTGGGATTGAGCTCGGGTTTAGAGCTATGATATGTAACAACCCTAAATATTCACAAAAATATAAGCATTAACGAGAGAGAAATATTTTTTCTTTTTTGAAATAACATAATGAACCATAAATTAAAAAAGATCGAACTCGTAATTTCCAAATAATAAATATAGGGTAACCAACTCGTGGCTCAACTCTCAATTTGTTTTAAATAACAAAAGTCCCCAGCGGAGTCGTCAAGCTGTCGACACCGTTTTTCGCCCGGGCGGGGAAAGACCGATACCGACTCGGGGGTTTTCTCTTTGAAAATCATTTAAAAATGTGAGGAGTCGCCACCAATCATTTAAGGTGAGATTGGAACACCGTAAAAACTGGGTGATTTTAGTAAAACATTTTATTTTAATAAAATACTGAGTTTTGGGTCTGCAAAAATCCAGAAATCAGGTTCGGGAGTCGGTTACGCGTGGGGAAGGATTAGCACCCCCACAAGCGCCCAAAAATTGGTACCTAGTTGATTACCCTATATTTAAAATCGTAAATTTTGAGTTTGATCTTTATTTAATTTAAAAATCATTAAGGGTGCAAAGTTAAAAGGGTATTTGTTTATTGAGACCGATTGCATTCGCCCCCGAGCGTAAATGCGGGAGATCAGCTATTGTGCCTAATAACCAAACATTGCCTCGTTTTTAGAAAAACATGATGCAGTTTTGAAAAGGATGTCAACTATTTTAGGGAATTACCAGTAGTCACCCCCTAAGCACGATCGCGGAGGATATACTATTAACTCCTTAATAAGTGAACAATGCCTTAAGTTTTAAAAACAATGCAATCAAGCAAAATTTTATTTATCCTAATTATACTAAAAATAAATTAAGGCTTTTTCTAACCTACGGTGTCAAATTATGAAAATTAAAGAACCTAGGGGCTCAAGCCTAAGAACGTAGGATCTAATATTAATCCTATTTGATTTTAATTAATTATTGAATCGAATAACTGAGATGGTCCCTCGAGCGTTTACGCGAGGGCCGTCTCGAATTATCCCCTAAATTAAAAGATTATTTTGAAATCTATACTAAAATGGAGGCTCTATTTAACCTATTTAATTATGTCAAATCTAAGTTCAAAGACTAAAAAGGTCAAGGTTTAAAGTACCGAATCCTAAAATATTTAAAAGAATAAGGATCTAAAATGACAACTTCTAAAGTTAGGGAACTAATTAAAAATCTAATTAATCTAAGTTATTAAACTATATATGAAAAATATCATGCAATTTAATATCACAAATTATATACATATATATATATTTTAATTAAAAATTATAAACCATACATATTAATATATAATGTACAAACGTGACTTAAATATAAAAATAAAGACATGCCATGCTAAAATATAAAATTTAAAAAAATATATATAAACATGTGAGAATAAGCATGTAAATTAAAAATAACTAGTGACCTAAATCAAAATATACATAAATATAGGTCTATAACTAATTCTCTTAAAATTCAAGTGGCTAAACTATAATTTTACCAAAACGTTTTTAATATGTAACCTAAACTAAACCTAAGCTATCATCCACGCACATAAATTTCCCTAAAGCCGCACATAAATTTCTTCTTCTTTTCTCTTCTTCACGCTCACAACTCCTGCGCCACTCTCAACCATTTTTTCTCTCAAACTTCGACTGACACAACCAAAACCCTTAGGGCCACCGCGTCGGCCACCACGTCGGTGGCCATTCACCACCATTACATCTCCTCCCCTCAAGCCCTTCTTCCTTTACTCTTTTCTCTTCTTTCACTTCATCTATCGCCTAACCTCTTTCTTTCCTCTTGACCGAGACCCGAAACACACAAAACCGCCGTGAATCGGCGTTGAACCAACCTTAGGCCACCAACCCAAAAGCTTTAACCCTCTAGGACCACCACTCTGGCCAAGGTAAACTACTTTGCTTCCTTCCTCTATTTATTTTAGTATTTTCTCGTAATAGCATAGAGTAAAAAAAATCAGTATTTGAATACGAAAATTAAAAATTGACCCTTTAATTTGCTTGTTTATTTCTCTAAAATCTCTGAGAGAAAACCCTACAATTGTTTCACTCCTTTTTCTGTTTGAACCCCCGTTTTACATTCATTTCTTTTTTCTTCCCCCTCCTTTTTTTTATAGCTAAAATTTACATATTTAAAATAAGTAAAGTGGGGGTGGTTGCAAATTTCTTGCGGGATTGTGGGGGGTGGGGGTTGGTGTTGAAATATATGATGGTGGGGACAAAGAATTGAAAAAATGGTGCTCACAGAGTGTTTTTTATTACGCTCGCAGCCCGTGAGGCAGATCATACGGACACAGACTGCTGGTAACCTAGAAGAAACCAATTTTTACAGTGAGGTGGTGCCATCTTCTCTTAGCGAGATTGCACCCATTCTCCGTGCTGATAATGAGGTCGAATCAAGCAACCCCAGGGTGGCTTACCTCTGTAAGTTTTTGATTTAGTTTGCTTTCATACGTGATTATTGTTTTTATGTGATTTTGAATTAATGCTGTTATTTTTAGTAATTTTAACGTCTGTTTCTAGCTGTTAGTATGATCTAGCCTTATTCTGGAGCAGTTTAAAATAACAAGAAATCTAACCAGCTCCTTATGTATCTTGTGTACCGCTGGATAAACATTTTATGTTATTGCATATGCCAGTGAAGATGGTCGTGTCTCTTGACATGGTGGTGTACACTGTTTTCAACTCCACCGAGTTAATTATTTTGAGTGCTACTGCTTTTTTTAGCATCACTTACTCTGGATACAGTCATATACCTGGCTACTTCTTGGTTATTTCCAATTATATATTGCTTAAAAATGGATTTATGTTGTCCTAATAAGAGATTATCTGTGAAAGAAAATTTTCTTCCATGTGATCTCTTATAAAATAAGTAGCATGAATTGGAATTCTGAGCATGCAACTTTTTGCTACTTTTTCTAGTGTTGGAGTTATTTCACTCAGATTGTCAAGAAATAATATTGTTTTACTATGCATCATCCTCACGATCATAAGATCATACTGGGTTTTAAACGTATTGTGTTACGTTTAAGTTTTTGTTGTACACCTCCTGTGATCTCTCTTGTATCTTATTGTCTTGATAATGAATTTTCTCTTTCTCATCTGTAATTCTTTTCCAAAAGAATCTTTAAATAAATATAGATTTATTTAATTGTTTCACGGTCGATTACTCGATATTATATGTAACATAGAAGAAGGGAACATGGAATGCATTATTCTTATGGTTATTGCACCCTACTCCTTGGACATGGGCATGGATTAAGGGATGTTTGAATTGCTTTGAGGGAGCTTATGATTGATAAGCTTTTCTATAAACTGAAAGGCCATATGAAGACAACGTTGGATTTTTCATTCTGCAAAATAATCATTGCTTTGGGCACTTCAATAAGCGAGTAAGTTTTTGTTTTTTCTTTTTCTTGCAGTATATGCAAAGGACATCTGCAATTTCTCCAAAGAAGATTGTCTGAAAACGGCATGAAAAAAGTTAAGAAAACAAAAGAGAGATCGTTTATTTCAAGGAATCATTTGTCCAAATTCATTTAACAAAAACTTTTTAGGAAATTAAGTAAACCAGACGATATGCGATCACTGTGTCTGATAGATTACTTCAGGTTTGGACAGATGCAAAACTTTAGGCTCTACACATTGTGACGTAGGTTACTTTTAATAGTCGAAACCTCAACAAAACATTACTCTAAAATTAGAAGATCATTCGTGTATTTTACCCAAATATTAATAGACAAAATATAATCGTATATGAATTGGATTAGACGTGCAAAAAAGGTATGTATCACGAGCAGGGATGGAGGTATGTTATATATGAGAGGACCATGCCCCCGAACTTTGATGGTTCAATTATATTTTTAAACTATTGTTGGTTTCGAAACCGTTGAAATTAGGCATTCCTCTCTCAAATTTTTTTATTTAATTATTTTTAAGATCCAATAAACTTTAAAATTAATGAAATTAAATATTGATCCCAAATTTTAAAATTCAATTACCATTTTAAGACCTTTTAGTTTTGAAATTAAGTTATAATTCTCTTGATTTTAATGATTTAATTACTTTTTAGACGTGCAAAAGGGTCCTCTCTCATTGTTTAATCCTAACTCTATCTCCACACCCTAGAGGGCATCGGCATCCACTACATATTCTATTTTTTTTTTCAATTGTTTCCACCAAACAAATCGTATCATAAACTTTTCAAACGAAACCAGTAAAATTTAAATAAAAAACTATAACCCTATCAAATAAATACTTAACAAGGATGAAACAAAAGCTATAATGGGGCAAAACGTACTTGTGAAATGTTTTGTCTGGAAAAAAAAACTAATGTTGTTCAACGATTGGATAATAATCAAAACATGTAACTGACAAATCATATCAGGTATTTCTCGTTTGTTCTGTCCAATCAAGGTTTCACAAAGATTTTCAGACAGCAATAATTAAAGAAATTAATTGTTGTTGGTTTAATTGTTTTGCAAAGAGGTTGTAATGAGAAGGGTAATCGAATACTCTCACATGCATGCATGTGAAATAGTTTCAGCTCTCTGTTGCCACTTGATGCATAGAAACAAACAAATTTGTCGGGTTGAATTCAGCATTTAGTCTTACCACTTGATGCTAATTAACTTGTTTAGGTATCAATTAGTCCACCACTATATATATATATATATATGATTACTTACAGATTTAAGACCATTGGATGAGTGAAAATAAACGATTAAGATTAACAATAGGAAATGATAATGTATTCACTGAAAAAAAATAATGAGTCAATATCAGTCGTCTATTTTCACTCATCCAATAATCCTAAAATATGTATGTGTATGTGTATGTGTATGTGTATGTGTATGTGTATGTGTATGTGTATGTGTATGTGTATGTGTATGTGTATGTGTATGTGTATGTGTATGTGTATGTGTATGTGTATGTGTATGTGTATGTGTATGTGTATATGTATATGTTTTTAGTTTTACGAATGAGATTAACTCATTGTTTTTTTTTTCTTCCAATGAATATATTCTCATTTCCTACCGTTAATCTCAATCGTCTATTTTCACTCATCCAACGATCCTAAATTTATGTAAAACTAAAATAGTTTTTTATTGTGTAATAGGATCATATCTATCTATTTATCTATCTATATATATAGATAAGGACGAGACTATAATTAAATATGGAGATGAAAATGATATTGTTTTACGAAATATTTAATTTAAAATTTGAAGGAACAAAATTTTAATTATTTACTTAAGTTTAGAGTGACAAAATCTAAAATGTTAATAAACCAAAATTTTTAAATAGACAAGAACACCTCCCACTCACTATGTTCTTTGTCCCCCATGTATATATATATATATCTTTTTTTTATACATGCAATTTTTTTAAATATTTTTTCGTACATGCATCCTTCATAAACTTCTAAATATTATAAAATAGTCTCTTGTTATGTTAAAATATCAAGAATTTTGATAAATTTAAGGGTCATTTTGAAATAATGTGGTAAATTTAAAAATTATTTTATAGCAATGTGACAAATTTTGAAGATCATTTTGTAACATTTAAAAAATATATGACTAAAATTTTAATTAAACTCCAATTCTTTTTTTAAAAAAAGAAGAAATTAAACTCTTCAAAAATTTAATTTAAACTTGTATATCTTTTAAAATTTTGAGTTACTCCCCAATTTGTATCACTAAATTCCGTCATTAATTGATTCGGACTTATCCGTAAAGATATTGTAACAAACACCCTATTTGAATAAATAATTTTTTCATTACTCTAAATAAATCGATCTCTTTTCTCAACACATCATTTAAAGAATTTAACCTACGTGATTGAGTTTGAATGACGTATGAAATGGTGAAAATGAAACGAGGTGTCAGTGCTTCTTTCATTTCCCACCGCCCTGACACTGTGCTGATTCAACATAACTTGTACAATTTTTATAACCCTCAATTCCATTGGTGGATTTGGATTTTTCCTGCTTGATCACGTAAATAAGATTTTTTCAAGATAAATAAAATAAAACTAATGATAATTAATTAAGAAAGAAAGAATGTGAACGAGGAATTTTTTTGTAATTGTTTATTATATTAATATTCATGTTAATTTAATATAGTAATTTTTTAGAAAATATAAATTATTTTAAATATAGTTAGAAAAATTAAACATGGAAAGTGTTTAATACCTCGGATCCAGTATGCATGACCTAATACGTCCTTCAAAATGAGTAGCCAAAGTTAATAGAATAGGATTTTATTAAGTATAAATATTTTTTTAATCCACGTTTATCGGATGAGTGGTAAGAAAGTTAATATTTTTTATAAGAACTTGTTTTTATACGTTTTAATTTGATTATTTTTAATTTTTATACTTTTTAAAAAATTTTAATTTTAGTTTGAAATAAAATGATAACTCTGAAATCTTTTTGAAGTTTTTAGATTACAAATTTAATTTCGATGATATTTAAATATCAGTAGAATCAAATACATCTTAATAAAAAGATAAAAAAATATTGATAACTTAAAAAATCATATAAAATATTTAAAAATTTAAAAATATTTTCAAATAAAAATTATATTTTAACTCGTTGTAAGCATAATAAATATTTACCCTCTTGATATGAGCAATTTTACTATAGATGTTAGTTAGTTAGTTTGGTAGTGAATTTACAGTTAAAAAAAGTAATGATTTTTTTAATATTATAAATTAATATTTTTATTTGAAGAAAGTCGAATATTATGATAAAGAGGTGAGTCAGAGTTTCCAATGAACATGTCAGTGGAAAAAGAAAGTGAAACTTAAAAGCAGTAAAATCTCACTTGGGCTTTATGTTGAGCTGTAAGCTGTAACTGTAAATTTCTTTTTGTATGTTAAGAAAAACTGGGAAATTTCTTTATACGAGACACAACAATGAAAAAATCAATTTTATTTGGAAACGATTTTAAATTAGTTCTTAAGTTATAAAATATTTTGTTTTATTCTTTTATAGTTTAAAATTTTCAAATATGAAAATCGTAAATTAACAAATGATTAACATGTCAGAATAAGAGATTTTTTATGTTAAAATAAATTGTCGAAATCAAAATACTTTAAAAGAAAATAGTAATAGTTAAAATGATTATTTAGTTAAATGTTCATATCCTTTTATCCTAAAATAAAATGTTGGTATTTAGTCTAATATTAAGGTTATTTTTTGATATTATGTCTACTTATTTTAATTTGTCATTGTTAATATTTCTGATTTATACTAATATTATTATTGTTTTATCGGAGATGATCTCTTGAAATTGCTAACTCTCTATCAATTAAGACTTCCGAATAATTCTCTTCACTTACCAGACCTTGCAAGAAACTTATATTTTCTGAACACATGAATGTCATGTCCTCTTAGTCAGCTACAGACATAACCTCTAAAAAATTCATAACATTTATCATAGCGAAATTCGAGATCAAACGATTATATTTATTTAGTATGTTGACCTATGAGTAACTATAATGATTCTATGTCTAGACACATAAGCTCGAATCAATATAAATATTTGTAAGTTTAACTAAGAGAGGGATCTTGACTTACTTATTCTCCTTCACTCCCTTTTATATTTTCATCTCTCCCATAGAAAAATATCGACAATGTTCGTCTCTACACTAATTGTAACTCTCTATTCAAACTACAATGAGTAAATTGCCAATTCAACCTTTTTATTTACAACAAGTATCAACCTACATTATCTCATGTAAATCATATATAAATTATGTCTAAATTTTATTCTATTATGACTTTAAATACATTTTGATTATTTTTGTAATTGTCCTTCATAACTATTTATCTATGAAAAAAATATTATTAAACTCATTAAATAATTTACTAGTAAAAATGAATATTACTCTCTAAAGGTCTTGAGTTCGAGCATAATGTCTGGAAAATATGTGTCATCGATTAATTAAAAAAATTATGAATAAATATTATTTTATAATCATTTAAACTAATAAAATTTATTATTATTTTATAATAAAATTTAAAAACTGAAAATATAATAATAAAAATTTATAATTTTTTAAAATGTATACGTTTGGGTGGTCTCTCGAGGTAAAAGAAGGTCAGGTGATACCTACTGCCACAACCATCTGCTTACCATTTTTATTTTGATTTTTATTCTAAATTTTATAATTTTTTATTTTCTCTTAACTTTATTATAAATAGTGACCCAAATCCCTTCAATTTTAGCCTTAACAACTACAAACAAAGATTTCACTTCTGATTTTTAACCCATTCATCTCTCAAAATTCCTCTCTTTTCTCTTTCAGCTTCGAAAATAACCAAATTTTCCCAGGAAAAAAATACATCTTTGATCATTTTCTCACCTGAAAAGTGTTAAACTTTCTGTTATTACCCGAAACGTGTTAAACTTTCTGTTATTCTTTCTGGGTTTTCTCCATGGACTCAACTTCTTCAAGTGCAGCACCGCCACCGAGCTTCTACATCGATAATAAATGGAAGCTTTCGAAGAAAGAGAACTCGTCGTCTTCCTTAACGGCGACGACTACTCCGACATCGAAACGATGCGCTTTCACAAGGAAATGCGCAAAGCTGGTGAAGGAACAAAGGGCTCGTTTCTATATCATGAGGCGTTGTGTCATCATGCTCATTTGCTGGCGTGATTACACTGATTCTTGAATACCAGAGAAAGAAAAACCCTAATTTAGAAGTTTAATGTCGAGAGAAAAGCTTGGGGTAAAGGAGAAGAAGAAGAAGAAATTAAGCTATACATAATACTACATATATACATGTAGATAA